GGACACCTGCGCCCAGGCCGTGGCCCTGGCCGAGGGGCTTCAGCTGGGGCAGGAGGAGGACGAGAAGCTCCAGGTGAGAGGGTTCATTTCACCCCAGTCCTCAGTGCTGCCGTCCCCACCTCCGTGTGTGTGGGGGATGTTCCTTTCTACCCTGTCTCTCCCAGTTCCTGGCTCCGCAGTAACACATTTATCTCATCCCCAGGTCATAGTGAGTGTGAAGGTTGAGGAGGATTCCACGGACAATATCCAGCCTACTGAGGCATTGCAGGAACCTGGTGGTTGCTGGCTGGAGCAGTCAGAGGCCCATCCTGCAGGCAGGCCCCTGGAGGAGGCAGGACAGAGGGAAACCCCAGGGCCACAGGACAAGACACCTCATGGCCCAAAAGAGGAACCCCTGCCCGACCAGATGTCAGGTGCTGACCAGCCTACTTGATGTATAAGCTTAACATGGCTTGATACCCACAGAGTAACACTACCCTCTGGTACTCGGGTTGGCTATCGGCTGTAAGCCAGTTGATTTTGGAGAACCATTAAAAAGTGAGGTCTTAGGTTTAAAGCATGTGTTTTAAAGTGGAACACCTAACTGCATACCATGTTGCAGGGGTTTAGGTTGTAGCCGTGTTGGTCTAAGGATATAGGCAGACAAGGTTCCTTGGGTGAATTTGATATCTTTTATTAGACCAACCCAAATGGTTGGAGAATAGTTATTAAGCAAGCTTTCGGGTTCAAAAACCCTTCGTCAGGCTCAGGAAGCTGCAGCAGTCGGTGTGTGCTCCTCCTGGATGGGATGAAAAGTAAAGAAGCCAGGGGCTGGGCTGGGCTGGGGAGTCAGTTGCCAGGCAGATTATAATGTATCAAAAATCCAATGTCTATGTTTAGTCCCTGATCTCTAGTATCCAGCAGGTTGATGAAATGGAGCTCATAGGCTTGTCTCTGGGAAGTGTTGTGTAAATTTCCCTTGAGGATCAGGACTGAGAGATTGGAGAGAGAGTGGCCCTCCTGTGAGAAATGTGCCCCCACCGGTAATTGGGTGTTTCTGTCTTTGATGGATTTCCGGCGTGCGTTCATTCTGGTGCGCAGTTGTTGTCTGGTCTCTCCTACATATCTTCCATCAGGGCATTTGGTGCATTGGATGAGGTATACTACATTCCTGGAGGTGCAGCTGTAAGATCCTGGGATGCTGATGGCTCTGTTGTGGGGTGTAGTAATAGTGGAGGTGGTGG